TGTTCTATCAATAAACACTTTAATGACAAATTTGATGTCACTCATCTTAGACGTTCACCCCGGAAATATACTCAGTATGTTTGCATTGCTCGAAGAACATGTGTGAACGCCCTATCCATCTCCCCTGTTGTTATATAATAAGATCCCGCTATTCACTATAATCATATTCATTATTTAAGGAACGACAGATAATAAAGATAAGGTGGTAAGACACTGCTAAATGTTCGTGCATAATTCCAAGTCAAAGTCTACCAGCGAGAGTACAATGGCAGATTCATTTGAAAAAAAACAAACAAATCATAATATTTGAAAGCGATGTGGCTGACTACTTGACGATTTTTAAAATTGGAATATGACATGCAGCTCAAAGTAATAAAACCAAAGATGAAAGTATTCATCTATTGAAAGGGAGGAGTCATTTGTGTACGCTCTGTCAGATGATTGCAGAATCCAGAGTGTCTCAAACCCAAGTTTATGTAGTGTGCAACCCCCAGTCTAACATTACTATGGAAAACATATACCCATATATTCGATACCCGGAATTAGAACCTGCTCAAAGAATTTCTGAAGCAGTAAATGACCAGTATAGGTGTTAACAGATAGATGTCATCAACGGTTGCTGCGAAGAAAAAGACTAGCATTGAAATAAGATTTTGCTTGGACACTCATGACCTAAACGAAGCAGCAAATTACATTGTGCCTACATAATTTGGCGGACAAAAAGGTGAGTAGCTCTGTAATGAAACGTGCGTTAACCTTTGTTGGTATTAAAATTTGGCACATATAAATTGACAGTTTTTACAGAACGAGTACCGTGAATATCAGTTGCAAAGTTGTTTTTGTTGGCAAGAGGATCAAGTGCATTACCAGATAAGGACTTAAAATTCAGTCTGGCAGTGAAACAGTAAATCCTGAATCGATCGGAATGGTTTGCAGGAGCCAAAACATTTTAGATGGGAGGTGTTTTGGTCAGCATCTAAAATAGGACGAAGGGCCCGTTTTTGAAGTGTGATCGTATTGCCTCAAACCACGCAACAGAAGTCAACACTGAAACTGAAACATAACATAGTACAAAAGCACTTTTACATGCAGAAGAAAATAGTGTCGAATTTATGCAAAATCCAAAAACGATCAACAGCAGAATATTGTTCACTGTCAAGTTTGATTTTAAGGAGACTATTTATTGTGCAGAATTTTCGAATTTTGAAACAAGAACCAATAAGAAACAGGTTGTTTTTCGTGGGTTGATATAATTAACATTTGTTCACTTGGAGATTGATAAAATATACTTATTGGTGGTGTTACTAATATCATATATAATACTCCTAGTTAATGTTAACGTATGGTCGTCTGCATACAAGTCATTTACATTTATTCCAGCATGCGAATGTGGGATCATTAATAAATGTAACACAAGACCTTATGGATATATATCAGTATATTGATTATTTGGAAGAAATAAACATAACGTATATATGCACACCCACCCACAACGTATATATATATATATGCATGTGTGTACTGTATTTGCCTTTTTTATTTGTTTGTGACTATGATTTGCTTTGCGTATTTACTTTATCAGTGTGCTTTAGGGTTTTTCATGTTTCTCCTGGCTACTCATCTCCCGCAAGCCAATACATTTCAGGTGTGGCATATTTAAGGTGGGCTCTACATCTTGTCTGTATATTGTATTTATTTGTACATCTATATGTGGCTTCCTTTGCTTGAATTAAATCGCTGACCTCATACACGAACTTATTGCCTAAGGGGTGAGACACTTATTTACTAATGCCACATTATTGATAAGAAAATACGTCAATGACAGGAGCATTTATATATTAGAATGATCAATCTACAAGGGAAACTTTACTTATCAACATAGATAAAAACAAGCACCACATACCCCGCCCAACTCACTATAAATTTAATGATTTTCAATGGTTTCAGGTTTCTATGCTGTTTTATTTACCCACAGATGTTAGTCAACGTTTGTGAGGCGCTATTACCATATTTTCCGCACATGAATTTACTAAAATTGAGCAAATTATTTCCTGTAACTAGATATTTGAAAATTCGAAGAATAAAAGAAATTAGGTTACCTGAATTATAAAAACTCATTCTTTGAATTTTGAATATATTGGCCACCAGAGAAAAGATAGGGGTCGACGTCATGGAAGGGAATCCAAATATTAATAAAACAAAGCAACTAATAGAAACAAATATTAATGTGTTAATTGTCATTAATTTGATGAAACATTCCACACAGAAAAATGTGAATTTGAATATCAGCCCTATTTTTGTGACGCTACTCCTATCTATGGTGCCCTTTTTTAATTGTAGGCTACGTTTTTGTTAATTATTTGTATTCTTTTCAATAATTTGAAACTGTGTGCGTGTGTGTATGACCTATGACCTCAATTACTGCTACTGCTACACGTTCTTCTGTAATATATGAAACTCAAAGGGCCTTAGTCCCCTAACATAATGACGCCCCTTTGTAATGTTTGATGTGCAGTGTAGATATTCGGTTGTAATTCGAATTCTAATTTTGATTGGTGATAATCAGTTCTTGCTAATTTAAGTGTTTTTTTCCTGGTGGGTAGACATATTTGTAAGCAAAATACGCATTGTTGATCCAAGATGCCAGCTTATATCAACAGTTTCACACCTCTAGGTGAAGTTTTATCCTTCTACGTAAAAACCCCTGTAGTGCCCAATTTTGTGTGTGAATTTCTGGAGTAGCGATAATTTTTTTTCTTTGTGACGTGAAATTTGTTTTAAGTGTTCACTTGTTTTGTGTGCTTTGGGAGATGTAGTGCGCCCTCATTTGTATTGTGCTAATAAATGGCTAATCGTTCGGACCTTATACAATATTATACAATAGCCCGCTTCGACTGGACTCCGCTGATATCGCTTACGGCTTTAATTTTGATTTATATTTATTACACTACGTCTCATTTTACTTTAAAGTTTAGTTGATTTTACGTATCTTTGTGCATAATGAATGTTTATGTGATTTTACGTATGCGTACTTTACGTATCTTTGTGCATAATGAATGTTTATGTGATTTTTTTGAACGTACCCCTTGCATCTGAGTATAAACTGGTCTATACAATAATATCTTGTAACACTTGTTCGTACATTGTGAGCCATCCCTGAATATATTAAAGGTCTGTTGTGTGCATATTCACGCGCGGTAACAAGAACCTGGACAAGAGGGTGTAAATACGTTTTGGCATTTAAATTAATTTTAGAACCTCTTGGCACAAGGCATAGATAAATTATCAAAGCTTTGCTTTAATGGGCAGTCATTTAGATCGTAAGAACGTGATTAATTGCGTCGGATGCTCCCACAAGAGTCGATCAGTGTATGCATCTATTGTGTAAGACAGACACATGCAGTAACTATAAACTTGCAACGATGGCTTTTGTTTGAGTTCACTCTGTCGAAACTTTAGGATGCGACATATAAGCAAAATTAAATAGCAATGGCCAAAATTTATGTGGCTGGCTGTATTAAAAAAACCCAACTGAATGGAAGTGCTTTTTACAGGGTGGTTGTCAAGGAAACCTTTGTGCGTTACGGTTTTAGTTGTGTCAATACAGTGCAGACCCTAGTATGACCTTGTCTGTATGTCTTCGTCTACTACATGCAGCGAGTCACGTCAGTTCATGACAGACGTAAACGTTGTTTGTCGAAACATCCATCCCTGATTTTCAGAAAAACTTGATATATTTGCCAGTCAGGACACTGTGCGATGTATCCACTGTAATTTGTGAGCAGTAATATTTCTGTTCACCTAGGTGACAAATTGTAAATAATTGTAGCCATAGAAACATCCACCAGAGTAATTTGTGAGGCATTTAGTAGCTGAGAATTCTTCCACACCGTGCTCATTAAGAATTTAAATATTGAATAAAAACTAGCAAGTCTGAAATTAATCACAAAAACCTTATAAAAAAGCATGTAATTACAGGTCAATAAATAGCAGTGGACACAATACGATAATCAATCAATATGTAATCAATACATCGGGTCAATTATTTTCCTGCCATGTGATATGACGAGTCGAACATAGTGTAATAAATATCAGCAATAACAACAAAAACGGCAAAAAACACCTAATTTTTTTATGGTCGGTCACAAGGTTTGGCAGCCATTTTTGATTTGATTTTGTTTACTGATGCCGCAATTACGTGATTGTTTTTCATATTTGCCACTTAGCTTCTATATAATGAGCTCTTTTAGACAGCTAACGGCAATTCAGATCAGTCACGTGATTTGGCTGCTATCTTTAATTTTCAGCAAAAATGTCAAAAAAATGTGCGCACGTGTTTTTTCATGAAACTGAATCAACTGTATCATGCATGGCCAAAGCTTCTTACGGGAAAATTAAATTATTTTGATGAATTGCATGGTTTGGTCGCCATTTTCGAATTTTCACAAAAGTGACCACAAGTTTGGTGAAATGTTTCTCATGAATGTTGTACCAATTAATTTGATAATTTGTATATGACCTGTATTGCTTTTAACGTGGTTTGGTAGCCATTTTGGATTTCGAGCTAATTAGCATATTTGACGGGAGATAATAACTGAGCATAAAGTCTTATTACTGCTACCAAATGTCTTCGCTCGCCATTAATAACCTCTATAAATATACCAAAAACTAGCAAATGCTTAATATTCTCAATTTGCAAACAATTTTGTGAACGTAACTAGAATATCCATATTTGGAAATGTTATCTCTAATAGTGTAGTCATTAGATTCTTCGAGATTCATTACTGAAAACGAGTAAAATATTGTGAGTCAGAATAGTTTTGTTAATATCGTTAATTTAGGTCGAGGGCACAGAAAAAAAGATGTTTTCTTCGGATTCGGAATGCTACCTGTGTACTTGATTCAAGACTAACACCATGGTCAAAAAGTAACATAGTACTGATCAAAGAGCGCAACGTATATATCACAATTGTTCACTTGATAAATATGTTTACAATCCGTTAGTGCGTGCTGCATTTCCCAAGGTGCAACTTGACAACGCCTTGATTATGAAGCTCCAATAGGTTTTGAATTTCCCATCCCATATGGTGGGCACATACAAACACTTCATCAAATCCCGAATCACCAGTGTAATGATATGGTAAAGCATTTCCTTCTATGTCTGTGCTAAACGGCCAGAATCCAAACAGATGAATCTCCTCGCAAAGTGGCAATCCCATGGTTAACAATAGCAATCCTGAAATAATACATACTCAGATGAAACATATATGAATGTACATAAAACGTCAATAAATGAAACAATTGCAACAAATCAGATTTCTCACCTGATGAAACTATTTTCTCAACCTTCCAAAATCTTCTCACTAAACCAAGATAGTCTCTATTGAGAAGCAACAGGTCCAGTGAAGTGTTCAATTTTATGTGATTCATGGCAGGAACAGTGAACTTTGGTGTTGAAGTAAATAGTACATGACCTTTATATTCTTCCAAGGCTTTACTGAATGCACGCATACTATAATTGAACCTATGGGTTAAGCAGGTAGCGAGAACTGAAATTATGAAACTACTCTGATTCACATCATAATCACTGTCACAAGATGATCCGTGCAGCAAAAGTCCAAATCCAAATCCAAGGACAGTTGTACAATGGTAAAAAATGCATGGATGTATATAGTTCAGGAATACAACAAGGAAATGAATTTACTTTATTTATATGAAAATATTACTATGACTTCTTTATTAAGTTAAAAATCGTAACTTTTAATAACCTGTTGTAAATTATACTTGGATTGAACGTAGTTAGATTCATCTTCCTCCCTGCATCATGTGTAAAATTACGAATCACTGGAAGATTGGCTCTACGGAACAAGTATAACCATGTAACTTTTAAACCCAATACACTTAATACGTTTCTATGGAAGCTGGGAAAAATGAGAATTTACAGTGTATAACAACTAGCTGACACGAGTTAAAACACATAGAAAGAAATTAAATTATAATGACCTTCCCAATAGCGACATTGACATATATGG